AAGGTTGCAAATTCTACAGTATTACAGGCACATCACAGGTAATGAAATACTTTTCCACAGGTCTATATTGTTGTTAAATGAATAATATTTTTCATTTGACCTATACCTCCACAACTGCAATTACAGTAAATATTTCAGCTGGGAAACTAAGGCACAGGTCAAGCAGCCTATTTGAAAGAACACTCTTCTGACCACGTCCTGCTGTGCACACCTCACTGCAATTGCAGGATGCAGCTCTATAGTCACAGAGATAAGAGCAGTGTGGCAGCCCTTAGCTGTTTCTCCCAAATCCTGTTTTCCAGGCTTCTTATTATTGTGCTACTGCAAGTTTAATGCACGCGAATCATTCAAAAATCAAGACTATCAAATGAGAGCATGTTCAAGCCTGGGTGAAGCCTTCTGCAGATAGGCATTTTGTAATAGTGCTAAGCTCGGAGAGCAAATAGCTCTGGTAACTGAGGACTGAGATGTTTGCCCTCAGTGTGCTCCAATAAACTGATTTACCTTTCTTTTTTTTTCCCCTTTTTTAAAAAAGAGCTGACGCAAGTTTGTCAAAGGGAGTTGTTGGGGTGTAGCAGCTGTTGATTGGTTCATTTGATACACTCCCATTTGTCTTTAAATCACTGTCCAACTTCTCTAGGTTTCACATGAGCAAACTTTTCATTCCAGGTGTAATTCCTAAAAGACAAAATCTGCTTAGCAAGCGAGCAAGAGAACCTGTTCAACTCAGAGGTAAACTGAAAACTTTTTTTCTTTACAATGTCAGATCAATGTATTTTAGACATTGGCCACGCATTTAAAATTTGAGAACTAGAAATGTAATTAATCTGTAAATATAAGTGCAATGTGAAGGATTGTCTCCTTAAGATTTACTGACATGGTAATTTATGTTGGCAAATATCTGTGGTATTTCTTCAGGAATTACATTTAGCAGTTTTCATTTTGGTTTGAGGTGGTTTTCTTTTGTACAGTAAATCACAACCTAAGCAAGCAGAGAAGCAACAAAAGGTGTTTAAAATTGACCAGGCAATTAAGAAACAAATGCTTGCTTTCCTTTTCAGCCCTTGGCTAACTTCTGACAATTTTTTTCAAGGCTTTCGATTTAGCTGCCTAACATTTCTGTAAATAAATGAATAGCAAGCTTTGCATTTTAATTGTTTATTTCACAGTGACAACTCTTACTTCGTTTTGAAATAGCTGCACAAACAATAATATTATAAAGTCACTGTCATGAAGATAAAGAATCTGGCAAAATCTTCTTAAGCAGATACCATGGCAGAGCTTACAAATCTTGGTATTGATATATATTGATAAAAATGTTAGTCACACCTGTGACACGGCATTATTTGCTCAATGGTTGTCCATTCTCTTAATGTCCTAGCTGCAGACTGGACAGAAATCAATAATGTTGTGAAATCAAATGCCAGAAAATTAATCATTTTCTGAATCATTGCTGAAAACCATTACTTAAGGATGCAGAACAGCACAACATACTTGAAGAGAAAGATAGTTTTATAGGAATAAATAACTTCCCTCTAATAATAGGTTAATTTTTGCAACCAGTAATTCCATTTTATGCCATACTTTAAGAAAAATGTCTTCTGTTTAGCCAAATGCCACAGGAGGCAGCAAAACCAACGCTACATTGAAGCCAAGTTTAAGGAACGCTGCAGGGCTAAGAGATTTTTCTTTTATATAAACGTAAGGGAAGAACATACTGGTTTTAACTAAGGGAAGGAAAAAATGGAGAGTTTTATGGTTACTTCCAAAATTAGAAAATTCCTTTGTAGGAAAAGGAAGCTGGGGAAGTCACCATGTGTTTGGATGCCTAGAACAGAGTTTAGGCACCAAATTCACAGCTCTAAAGCAGAATGCACTGAATCCCAGGGAAGATAAAGCAGATGAACTTCAGTGTTTCTCCTCTGATGTCATGTGCCAAGCTTCTGGCAGGGCCCAGGCCTGCCCGACCTTGGTGGCTGTGCTCTGTCATGCCATCATTCCCCTGGTGCCTGGCCATGACCCAGTAGCAGCAGTCCAGCCAACAGGAACCCCTGCAAGAGTGCAACAGATCACACATCTACTGGCCCTGCCAGTCGGCTTGGGCATGGTACTGTGTGCAGCTGTAACCATCACTTCACTCTGAACAGAGCTTCCCTAAATAATATCCTGCCTGTCGAGCAGTGACCCAAGAGGCGTGGGGCTACCTCATTTGCTCCTCAGGTGAGGGGGTGGCCGCTCTGCCCATTCTACATTACTTACGGGGATTATGCACTACAAGTGCCTCAGCATCCTCCCAAACCCTTCAGTACCTGCAGCATTCAGAACCTGAAGATATGGATTTCCATCAACTAAGGGCCATCTCTGCCAAGTCCTGATGAACTTCAAAGACACCATTGGTTGTAATTACTGTTATTAGTATTTGCAGGATTCAAACGTAATACCAAGCCTATTTCATGGAGCTCATCCTGGCCCCATTTATGCCAATGGCTTTCAGCTCATGGTTTGCAGACCCCTTGAGCTCTGCCAACCACTTTCTAAAAAGTGACTGCTGCAACAAAACTGGTTCTCAACAGATTTAATTTTGCTACCTGAGGCTTTGCACCTTCACCAGAAGTCTTTTAGGAATTCATGGATCTTTAAAAAAAAAAAATTATTGAAAATCACTGCTTTATGTAATGCCCACAGTAATTCCACAGCCTTTTGAGATGACACCCATAAATCAGATGACTTGTGTAAATGTTTGACAGGACAATGTCCAGATGATTCTTATGTTTTAACACGTATTTTCAGTCAATTTTTACTCCCCCTTTCCGAACTGTTTGCTGTCCTGCACAGACTTTCCTCCTCAGTCTAATCTCTATATAACTTTACTCCTGGCAACTTTTTTTGCTTACTTTCCCTCTGTTTCCCAACTCTTTGAAGACCTGTATTTTTTGGACCTCCACTTCTGGAAGAGATATTTCTCTAACAGGCATTAGGCAGTGCACACAGGGTGGATTTTACCCTTTACCAGAACAGGGCTGAGCACAGTCAGATTTGTCTGCCTGACTTTTACCCCACAAATTAAAAATAAGCATCAGGAATTGGAAAGACTTTGTTTCTCAGACAGGGTAGTGTTTGAAGACCGTTCTGTGAATGAAGCCACAGCTGGAAGGGCTTTTTTTGGGGGGGTTGTTATTATTTTTTTTGTCTCCTGGAGTTATTCATATCCTGAGTGAGCAGAACCCCCTGGCTGCTGGAATGCGAGTGCTGGCAGCTCTGCCCTCTTGCCTAAGTCTCTTGTCCCCTCACACACACTCCCTGCACAGGAGCAGAAAGGAGTAAACACAGTCACTTTCTTTGGTAGGAAATCTCTTAATGCACTCCGATATTGCTTCTCCTTTTCGGTTGTCTGGTCTGAGTGAATGGTTTTAGTAAGAAGCAAGGAAGTTGGTTTTAATTTCTGGCCTAGGGTCAGTTTTAGCCCCCAGGACTGGTATTTAAAGTTTACATTTACATTTTAAGCACACACACTCTAACATTTTGCCACTACAAATATATTTCTAGCTGTTCTTAAGAACAGCATGTGATCAGTACCAGAGGATAGTGATGGTCTGGTCATTGAGTGAGGACCTATACAGCCATAAATGTAAAGCCAGGAAAAAGGCTATTAAATAATCGCAGGTTTAGTGTTACCAAGAGCCAGGCATAGAAATTATTTGTTGTGATGTCTTCTGATATGTTATTACACAGTGCTGGGATGCATTTAGCATGTGATAATCATGAAAAATGTAATGGATCCAGCCAGTGTGCCTGCAAGGCAGCAGGTAAACAGTCTGCCAGAAGCCTGCAGTTCTGGCCCCAGATGTGCCAGTAATGTGCTGCCTGGTCTGTGCTCACTCCCTTCATCAGTGTGCCCCTTTGTTTCCTCAGCTGTGAAATGGAAATAAAAAATGCATCAAGGAATACCTTTGGGGAAGGAAAAGTACTGTAAAACTGTAACATTTCTTGCACAATGTTTTCCTCTTGAATCTGGGAATGAGCAAATAAGTGTAAACGTATATCTGAAGATGAGACTGTGGCATGAAACTGCAGAAACCACAGCAGTGGAGTCCTCGTTGTAATTTTGGTTGGCACAGTTTCCTTTGGTCCACATAGAAATGGAGAACTGAGCATTTATTAAAATGATTTTTAAAAGACAGGAAATTTCCTAACAAGGATAAAGATAATCAGTCTTATGTCCATATAATAATCCTGTATGAGACAGTTTCCGGTTGCAGGACAAGTAAGAATTAAACACAGATATACTGAAAACCAGAAACTGCTAAATGAGAATTGCACCTCCAAATTATCATACAGAGATCATAGAATCACTTTGCTTGGAAAAGACCTTTAAGATCATTGAGTCCAACCATTATGGATGCTCACCTCCGTCAGATCACAGTGAAAGGGATAAAACTTCAAAGCATTTACATCTGTGACAATATTAATCTTACAACAAATGATTCAAAACACTGAGTGTTCCCCCTAAGAGTATGTATGTTTTTAAGCAGTGGTAGGAAACCCCTGATACACTCCCTTCATTTCAGCAAGGGCTTCTGAATCACCATCCCCTAGAAATTCAGAAGCAACAGTTCAATAAATTATTTTCTGCTGGCTTTGTAATTTTGCTAGATGCTCAACACCCACCGTGCATCCGCTGGCCCCTGTACGCTTTCCCATTTGAAGGGAGACAGAAGGGCCAAGTGCTGGTATATAAAGGGACATTATACTTGCCCAGAATTTTCCCAGTCTGCAATGGTTTCTCCTCTTAATGCTATTACAAAGAACAAACATAAACCAAACGATTCACACTGGTTTATCTAATTTGTGAAAAACTCTAATGAGTTCTGTTGTGTTTTGTTTGCAGAACAGAGTGTTCTGGCAGTCCCTGCATGGTAGAGACGACCTGCGAGCAGACAGCACAGGACTGTTTACCCTGAAGAAGCAAGTGTGTGTGTTGGAAAGTACTGACCGCTCTAATGGATCGCATGGAGCTGCAAAAAGTCAACATCGAACTTGATGAGCAGAGCAACAGTGGGGAAAGCCTTGAAGACAACTACACAGAGCTGGTTGATTCAGAAAAGGCTGCTATTAGGAGGTAAGCATTTAAATGGGAAGGCTATTCTGTTAAGGCTAGACAGCACTAATAAAAAAAAAAAATTTCCTAAGTAATACATTCAAATTACTGTGATTGTTTAGCTGATGTTTTCCTACAGCTCCAGCTCTCCCTTTTCTGCACTCTGGAGGATGGTATGCCCAGCACAGTAGCAGCAGCCCAGGTCACCCCTTGCCGGCCACTACCTGGAGTGACCTCTGCAAGCTCCCAGCCCTGAGTGCCCACTTGCCAATTTCCAGTCACTTCAGTCAGATTGTACTTGTATAAATTAACATGCGTTTTCCAGGGCATGGTAAGGAGGGCAGCAGCTCAGCATTCCTACAGCGATGGCCTATTCCCAGGCATTTCCAGAAGGACCCATGATAGCACCAGCACCTGGGTGGCTTGAAAAAGACATCTCAAAACCAGCCATTAGCCACCAGCTCTCAGCTTACTGAGCCCCTCGGCATGTCTCTCCAGCAGGGCAGTTGCAAGGCGTTATATTCCTCAGATGCGGAGTATGTGCTCAGATTTACCACATTGCTGGCAGGAAGGAACTGTTGCTTTCCAACATCTGCAATCAGACATAACTTGAAGATTACTGGGTTTAAAACTAAATTCCAACGCGAAGCAAAGATCTATTAAACATGTCATTGGACACAAGAATCTTACAGGAGAAAAGAGGTTTTTTTCTGAAGAATTTTTAAATATTCATTGCAATGTCAAAGGAAAGTGTCAGTAATGACAAAAGGCATTACTTGATCAAAATGGATGTCATAAGCCTCATCTAATATTTTCTTATTTTTCTTTGTGTTCAGTCCATTTGCTAGTGATGATGCAGAAAGTCAGAAGTTCCTTACAAATGGATATCTGGGTAAAAAGAAACTGGAAGAATATAGTGAAGAATATGTAAGTTTTATTCATTTTTAAGGGTAATGACAAAGTAAAATTTATTGACCTGAATCTTTTGCAAAAAGTTTCAGTAAACAAAGTTACTCTGGAACTTGATCAGCACATTCACGGCTTTGGAATAGTAAACACATTTCCTAACAGTCAGTGCAGCAAACAGTTTCTCTTGTCTTACAAGTAAAACTGGGTTTTTCCTTCAGAAGTAATCAGAAAAATTCCTCAGGTGATACTTGCACTTCAGAAGATTCCATATCATCTCATCCGAGATGTTCAGCCAGCATGGCTCTGTACCCATTTTTCTGACAGGAGATTTGGTTGAAGGAACTTTGTTGATCCTATATCAAGGTAGAGCTGGGCCTTCGTTGGTGTGTGCTTGGACTGTTTTTTTTCCAGCAGCAGTGTAAATGAATCCACATCCAGCTGCATTGTTTTAAAGAAAGGACATTTGGTTTTGGCTTTACAATGCTGAATATTACACACACAGCATGCCTCCAAATCTTTAGAAAACTCCATGTGCAAATGGAAGCACAACATCTGTTCCCAGGGTGTGCATGTGGGTACCTCTCTGCTCAGGATTTAACTTTATTCAGTTTTCATGAACCTGGTTTAAAGAGAGGCATTATTTTATTGGTCCTGTTACAAGGTTTACTAAGATTGAGCAAACAAACCCCAAAAGTGTTATTTGTGATTGCTATCTGAAATTAGACCATATTCTCCCCCTCTTTTTTTTTTTTCCTCTTGGTGGCAGATGTGACTCCCTCACACACCATACCCCCAGTTCTAGCTTGCTGTCCTTTTCCGTCCTCCTGCTTCCAGCTCAAGCCACGCAGCACTTCCTTCTCTTCTCCCACACACACTTTCAGTTCCTCAAATAAAGCAGCACATCCTACTTGAAGAAAAATTCAATAGCAAGTTAGATTAATTTTTTAAAACATCCAAATTTTTTAAATCAATAATTGGGAAATTGCTCAGATAATAGCTTGTCCTTCTATAGAAACACAGCCAGTTGTGGCTATGTCACCCCAGTGGCCTGTCAGGGAAGTAGCTCACGCTCCTGCCAAGACAAGGGGAGAGTGGGAAGAGGCAAACACCTACTGGCACAGCTTGCTTTGGGGGTAAAAAGACTCCTCAAGCAGAAGGCCCCTGTGGGCTCAGGAAACTTGACAAAGTTCTACTTCTAAGGGAAAACCAGCAATCAGGAAAATTAGTCTGTTGTGCTCAGGAAAATGCAAACTAATTGCCACTTTCTGTTCCTGCTCCCAACAGCACCGGGGCAGAGTTTCCTTTGGAATGTCCTCGTTCAACCTCAGCAATGCCATTATGGGCAGTGGCATCTTGGGCCTCTCCTATGCAATGGCAAATACAGGAATTATCTTTTTTGTGTAAGTATATGTAGAAAAAAGCAAAGAAAATATAAGCAGTGAGCTGGAGCTAGAGTTTTTGTGGTTCAAGAGGCACATTAAGCTTGTTTTGTTAGCTGAAAAGTTTTGTAAGATCATCTGTAATGAAAACATTTTAGCTGCACCACAAGGAACCATCCACTGCTGACAAAACCTTTTTTTAATTATTATTTTATCCCTGTTTTGTATCAGGAACATAACGGTGAATTGATACTGTGAAGTCATAGGGGAAGAACAATATACTAAAATAACAACAGCAATCTTGCTGGTTCAGTATGGGAATTCAACAAGGGAAATAAATCACCCATAAAGTATATATTTAAATTATCCAAACTATCTAATCACTATGTAGAAATAGAAGAAGGATATCCAATATAAGTTTGAAATAGCAGTATGGTTTGAATTCAAAGACATTCACAGATTTATTCAGATTTAATGTCTCTCCCTTGAGTCTATTTGTACTCCATGTGCACAGATGACAACAATGGTATGTGGCTGACATACAGTATCTATACAAAACAGGTTTTGACAGACAGTAACAGATAGCCATGTGAAGTTTTTAATCTGTGGGTAACCTTGGAAAATGAGACAGACTGTACAAAAAAAATGTTGGTTTTCCTTTTTTAATAACTAGCTTTAATTTTAGCTGAAGCATTAATTTTAATCCCCGATGAGGCTGGAATAAAGCATGACAGTAGCATATGACAATAGGCCATCGTTTTACATTACTGATATCTAACAAGCCTTTAAATCAGGCTCCATGTCTATCTTTACACAGCTTCTTTCTTCTGGAGATTGTGTAACTACGACAGCAACAGAATTTGAAATGCTACATGTAGTTTCCAGTTGCTAAGAAACACCTCCTGTTTTGCTAGTAGAATTTTTAACTAAAAATTAATTGTAGATGCAAATCCTGTCCTGGATAATTACTTCACAGCACCTACACTCAAACAGTTTAGATATAGCATTTGCAGATACAAAAAGGGAAGCTGGTTCTAAAATCGACTTCATTAGAGTCTGAAAAATGTAGAATTTTTTTTTCCCCATCTTTCTCTGAGCATTTGTACTAAATAGTATGGCCATAAATTACCAGTGGAGAGAAAACTGTGATATATTAAACCTCACTGAAAAAAAAATTACCTTTGTAATATCTTTATTTTTAAGGCTCTTTTCATTCACACGGGTGGCTAAACATCTGATATGAGCCTAATGATATTAACTCTGCTGTCTGTGCTAAACCAGGGAGTAATGCTAAAGTAACCCTATGCAGTCTTAAACAGCAAAAACAAAAGACACTTCCACTCACAGCTCATTTTCTTTTGTGCCCTACTGCCATACTTTCTGCATGAGAACATTCTCCCTTCTGGTAAAGGAAGGAGTTTTATTTAAAAGTATAAAACTGTGTGGGGATATTGTTACCCCCATGGCATGCATCCACTTGCTGGACATTCCTCTGTTTTCACAGATCATGGCATTAGCACTAACAGGACAGAAAAATCCCATCTACTAAATGGAAACTGCTGGACATTCATTCTAATTTAGACAATGCAGGCAATATTGTCTAAATTTTTGCTGTTTACTGTTCTCACATTGCCCAAGCATTCTCATGCTAGATGTTCTACAGGGCGAAGGCAAAAGGAGGGCTCCTGCTGGGGAGGTTTGCAATGGCACAGGGCACATACCAGAGCGTCACTTCTGCTGCCTGGCATGATTTAACAAGTGCAGCCAGGATAGCTTTGGTTTACCACACGTGTCAGGACACAGTGACCATGTCCCTGAATAGCGACTGCATGGGTGCCCCTGATCAAGAAGGATGTCATCATGGCAGGATACACTGCAACATCAGACATGATCTGCCCTTGCCATGTTGTATGATCCCACAGCCTGAGACACAATCCTGCTCACATGAAGTCTGTCTCTCTTGAAGAGAGAAAACTGTGATGGTCTGGTGTCCATCCCAGCCCCAGGGCCCATGTCTCCTCTTAGACTAACTCATTCACAATCCTGGCTGTCCATGTCTCCTGTAGCTACAGTGACTCGTGCGTTTATAAGCACAACATCCTGCCCAGTCATGGAGTAAGGCACATCCATATTTCCTAGTCTGTCATGTTGCCACTGCATCCTCTTCTACACCAACACTTCTGCAGGCTGGTGACAAGACATTTATGGTAATAAGGTAGGCTGCCCACAGTGCTGTGCCCTGAAAATGCCATAAATAGCTACATTTTTCACCAGCACATCACAAGACGCAGGTAGATGAAATCACATAGGACACAAATGTTATGTGGAAGGAAGATGATAGTAATCAGACCTAAGAAATTCAGGCACCAGTACCTGCAAGGAAACTAGGCTAGAAGAGTGTGCTGCAAGTGCTCCAAGAGCTATGTTTCCAGTGTCATGCTGCTCTTTAGCATTACACAAGATTTCCAATGTACTTTGCAAAGTGGGCATCTCAAGCTAAACTCCAGAGCTTCACAATGGCATAGCAGTAGCCAAAAATAGTGAGTAGCCAGGAGCTGTCAGTGAAGTTGTCACAGTCATGGTTTGGGTTGGTTTTGTTTGTTCGCTTGTTTGTTTGTTTGTTTTGTTTGTTTGTTTGTTTTATAGCGCTAAGTAAGAAGAGAGATTAAAATGAGAGGTCAGTGATAAGAGAACAAAGACTTGACTGTTGCATAGAAATCTGTTTATTTTAGTTGGATCTTGTTTAAGATGTAAGAGTCTGTCCGTATGGAATAACACAGAATTGTCACTTACTTGGACTTAAGCCTTAAAGGGCTTTTGGAGTGTATACGGTTCAACTGCACTCACAAGTAAGCTACAGCTGACACCTCTGCACTTAACAGGGGCATTTTAAAGTACAAACTTGCTGAAAATTTTTTACACGTTGAATTTCATGAGAGTGAGCGAGAGCACATTCACACCAACAGTTGCTGATGTCCTGCGTGGGATTCTGATTTCTGCTTTGCCTTGCAGAGTCTTGCTGCTCAGCGTAGCAATACTGTCGCTCTACTCGGTCCACCTCTTGCTGAAGATATCGAAAGAAGGAGGTATGAGGATCAGGCTGTGACTGATTAAATGTCCCTGCTGTATGCATGTATTTTACCTTGGAATGCAACTCATTAAGGGTGTCCAGTGCCATGGCCCATGTTTCTTTTTTGTTTTGGTTTGTTTTTTTTCCAGGATCCCTGATATATGAAAAACTGGGAGAAAAGGCATTTGGATGGCCTGGGAAGTGTGGTGTTTTCATTTCAGTTACAATGCAGAACATTGGAGGTAAGGGACAAAAGTTTTCTAACTTCCAATGCTTTTTAATGGAACACAAGTGCGTTCCCTCCTCTGTCTGGTTAATTGGCATCAGAGATGAGCCAGGTACAATGTACATTATATTGTACTAAGGAAGGACAGGAGGAAATAATCTTGCCTTGTTTCAGCTATCTGACACTTTAGTGTCTGGTGAAGGCTTGTTGTCTGGGATCTCTCCATGACCAGTGAAGAACCTTCAGTGATGGCTAAAATTACTTGGCTGCCTGTCCTCAGGGAGTTGACCATTTCTGTTCACTGACCGCAGCTCAGGCTGCATCATGTGCTTCAACTTAGAAAAGAGTAAACCTGCCTAAAAGGACCAGCATATGGTTCTGACTTCTCCATAAAAGAAAGGTTCTTCAGTAATTCATCTTCCAGCCAAATTCTCTCATTAAAATGACAGCTGGGTTATAATCTCTCTAAGATGTTGAGTGTTTAAGAGTGATTGTTGAAAGTATTCAATCCACAAAAATATTTCCTGTGAAATATCCCCCCCACACTCTCAGAACAGGTGACTGTATGCTTGCCAATTTAAGTAGTAGG